TTATGGTTTTGGTTCGTGGATTCGTATTTATGCTTGGAATACCTTGAATTTGCACTAATAGTCTTCAGTACCTACGCAGAAAGAGGAGGAGTCAAGGAACACTATATGGATTATACTGTATGCTGATTGGTGCTACTGTTACCAGGCTACTGTTATGGTTTCTTTTTTTCTATGATTCTCTCATACTTCCCTTTTCTTGCTGCTGGGAGTATAATAAAGAAAGAGAATGCATAATACTCGCCTCCGTGTCATTAATAAAATCATGACTTTACGTCATGTTAATAGTAAAATCTGGTAATTTAGCTTTATAAATAAATAACATGCAACTTGTTTCCTTTGCATGCGTTGTATGATGTCCATACAATGTGATGCTTTTGTGTAATGTCTCTTTAATTGGAACTCAACTGCAGAAACAATAAGTTTCACCTCCTTTATTTTATTGAAGTGAACAAGGTAGACTGTATCTTTAAATACACATGCAAGGAAAAAATGCAATGCTTATTTGTCAACAGAGAGTTTAGAGAAATTAAATACTATAATAATTGATATGACTTGCTTTCCTTGACAAGAGATTTACTTAACTTAGAAGCACTCTGGCACTGGAAGGGTTAATTCACCCAATGGAGGAAAAGGAAGGAGTCTCTTTTAACAAACTGCAGTTTAGTAGTGAGAGAAAGGAAGTCCGTTTGTCCAAGCCGAGGTCTGAGAGAGGAGAAGGTAGAAATCCGTTTACAAGCCGAGGTCTGGGGGATGAGAAGGTAGAAATCCGTTTACAACCCGAAGGTCTGAGAGATGAGAAGGTAGAAATCCGTTTACAACCCGAGGTCTGAGGGATGAGAAGGTAGAAATCCGTTTACAACCCGAGGTCTGAGAGAGGAGCCGGTAGCATCGAGTGGGGCAGCTGATCTTACTGCCGCACCTGAGTGAATAATCCAGCCCTTTGAATCTGGCGCGGTCTTCCTAAGTATCGTGGAAAGACCGCGTCAGAAAAAAGGGCGGAGCTAAGCGCCGTGAACCCGGAAGTGGGTTCCGGCGGCAGCATGAATGTTAGGTATACCTGACATACAATCTCTGAATTTTGCATGCACCTCCATTGTCTCAGTATGTAGTTAACATCCTTCTATGGAGTCAGCTGGTAATTTTCAGGCAGCAAGCCAGTTGGCTGTCTCGAAAAAATACTTTGCTACAACATACACACTTCTATGTGTTGCATAGGAGGTGAAGTTTGGATACCATTCGAGTAATCACTGGTATGCCCTCAGGCCAGATTTACCATTTCCGCTGACCCAAGGCCAGTTTCCTCAATGTGCCTCAGCATTGCCGGCATCAGTGGCGAATCCAGAGCCTGATCTCGGGAGGAGCACTTGTAGATTATTTAAAGAAATAATCCAGACACAATAACCACTACAGCTCAGTGTAGTGGTTATGGTGTCAATAGTGCCGGGCCCCCCTCCCAGAGTAAGTAGTCAAACCGTTTAAGAACAGTTTGACAACTTACCTGAGGTCTGCTGGGAAATGGGGCAGTAGTAGGGCATAGGAGCAGTGGTGTGTGTGTGAGTGGTGCAATGAGTAAGGGGTGCAGTGTGTATGTGTGTGTGAGGGGGACACTGTGTCAGCAGTGTGTGTGTGTGTAAAGGTTGTAGTGTGTGTGAGGGCGGCAGTGTATGTCAGGGATGCAGTGTATGTGTGGGACAGTATGTGTGTGTATTGCAGTATATGTGTGAGTGTGGGCAATGTGTGTGTATGGGGGCAGTGTGTGTGTGTAGAGTGTGTGTGTATGGGGGCAGTGTGTGTGTGTATGGGGAGCAGTGTGTGTGTGTATGGGGGCAGTATGTGTGTATGGGGAGCAGTGTGTGTATAGGGGGGCAGTGTGTGTGTATGGGGGGAAGTGTGTGTGTTAGGGAGCAGCGCGTGTGTTTAGGGGGTATCAGTATGTGTGTATGGGGGCAGTGTGTGTGTGTATGGGGGGCAGTGTGTGTGTGTATGGGGGCAGTATGGGAGGCAGTGTGTATATGGGGGTAGTATGTGTGTATGGGGGGGTAGTATGGCCGCTCGCACGCATTAGACCTTCCCATAGGAAAGCATTTCCTATGGGGATTCTGGCGACGCTGGTGGTCCTCATGCATAGCGTGAGGACGTCCAGCGTAGCTTAAAACACTTTTTGGGTTTTAAGAACTCAGAAGCCCCTCTGGTGGCTGTCTGATAGACAGCCACTAGAGGAGGACTTAACCCTGCAAGGTAATTATTGCAGTTTATAAAAAGGGTGACGGGAGTTGGCACCCAGACCACTCTAATGGGTAGAAATGGTCTGGGTGCCTGGAGTGTCCCTTTAAATCCTATCAGACAGCCAGTTCCGGGTTGTTAAACGACTTTTTGGTCGCTTAAATGACGCTGGACGTCTTCATGCTCTGCTTTCCTATGGGGAGGTCTAATTGCATGCACATTAGGTCTCCCCCGCTGGCAGATGTCAGTGGGGGAAGAGCGTGGGCGAAGCCTGACCAAGCACCGAGGGATATCGGCGCTGGGTTCAGGTAAGTGCCTGAAGGGGTTTTAACCCCTTCAGCAACAGGGGATGAGAGGGAGGGGCTTACGATAGGATTCTCTAGTGACAGTAAAAAGTGTTATTTTTCCTTGTACTGGAGAGTCCCTTTAAGAGTGCATGAAGGGGGGAAACATCTTCTTGTCTAGTTAATGTATTTGGCAATAGTGGCATCTAGTGGTAATTTCTTATATGGCAGTTAATCATATCTGTAGTTACATGTCACATAACTATGGCACTATGTCAGATTAAATAAAAACACAGGTACAATCAGAATTGTAACTGGCTTTTTAACTAGTAGGTGCAAAACTGTTTTATATTAAAACATGTATGCTCAACAGATATCTTAGCACTGAGAGATGCAAGGTTCATCATAGCAGTAAGCTTCAATTGGAGTTGCAAGAAATTTTTAGTACGAAGAAAGACAAATCAAAAGTATCACAATTTTTCTATGCCATTTGTCTTATTCCCAGATGAATAATTAAACTGTAGATTGGAGACCTCAACAAAGATAACTTGAGCATCCTAGAGAACATACATGCATTCTGGATTGATATCTGAGGAAAGGGATTTAGGGGTAATTATTTCAGATAGGCAGACTATGTAATAGAACAGCAGGAAATGCTAGCAAAATGCTTGATTGTATAGGAAGAGGTATTAGCAGTAGATAAAGGGAAGTGCTCATGCCATTGTACAGTAAAATATTACTTTACTGAGAGGGTAGTGGATTCATGGAACAGTCTTCCAGCTGAAGTGGTAACGAATAACAGAGTGAGGGAGTTTAAGATATAAAATAAGTCCAGGGACTAATGAAAGTACTGTATTTAAAAAATTGAGTAGATTAGATGGGCAGAATGGTTCTTATCTGCTGTGACAATCTATGTTACTATGAAGTCCTCAGTGGGCAGCCGTAATTACTAATATGTCTTAAAATCAGCTACATGGACTATTTTATTCTTTATATATATATATATACACACATATATATATATATATGTAGCGGAGAGCTGGTATTACACAGCCTATCTCCACTTTGAATCCCAGGGAGGTTCAGGAACAAGCAATTATAAATCCATAGGATAAAATATCCAGCAGGCAAAATAACAGCAGTATCCCAACAGCAATCCCAATAACTGGACGACACACAGTTTCAGGAGCAGAACTAAAGCTTTATTCAGACAGTGGCCTTTTAAAGCCTGCTCCCATGCAAGGGAGGGATTTCCATTAATTTGTACAGTAGCCAATCCTGCTCTGGTAACCTCCCACACATCTCCTCCCCTCAGCCTGCATCATAATCCCCTTATCCAGCACACCAATTCCCCCCGTTTCTGGATGTACCCCTAAACTTAGGGGTACCACTTTAAATCATACATCCCCTGGTAGCCCTGATCTGGGTGAACAACATATCCAAAAATCACCCAGATCAGACCAGGGGTTCGGGAAATTTATGGAGGGAATAAAATGACCGACCGCACTGGGTGAAACAGCCGAATGAGGTTCCATGTGAATGGGCCCTGCGGTCGGTCCTGGAGTCAGGGAATAAACGGCACGAAAACCTCTAGCTACAGAGGCTAGGGAGGGTTCGCCTGAATCCCTTCGTTCGGTTCTTTCTATCTACCGAACGAGGGGCCGTTCGGTAGTTGGGAACTGAACGGACCGGGCTTGTGGAGGTTTCAGCGGTGTTCGCCTAGTCGAGTGTCCGATTTGAGTTCCAGAAACTCAACGGCAAAACACCGCTGTTCGGGAGTTTTAAAATGGCCGCCGCCACGTGTTCATTTTTCGAATGGCGGCCACCCCCGAGAACAAAGGACTCTACTTAGCTTGTCAATTACCCATTCGCAACAATGTTGCAACGGGTAATTGAAGGCACACTTCACACAGGGGAGGTCTGACTGTTCGGTAGTTTCATTCTAACAAACTAAGGGAATTAAACTACCTAACATTCAGACGAATACAATACATTAAATACATAGAACTTTGCTGTTTTCACACGAATGCATTAAAATACATGAAATTCTCAGGACAGCCCAGTGCCATCCGCTACAACATATATATATATATATATATATATATATTTTTATGTTAATCTACTATATATAATGTATTACAAGTGGAGTAAACTCTATTATGATATGTCCCTTTAAGACCGATTTAGAACTGCACACAGTCACAAACTTGAGCCACACCAGGTACAGAAGAAATGTCAGTGTTAAGGAAGAACGTATCATTCACTATGGAAAACAGAAAAAGAATCCATTGCCAAAAGAATTTCTAAATATATATATATATCTTTTAAAACAAAAAAACAACTAAGGAAATATTTTTTCCACCAGCATTAGAACAAACCATTACTGCAGTCAGTGTAACGGCTGGAGTTAACCAGCAGGTGGCGAACCTTGCTTTAGGTTGTTTCGTTCTATAGAAAGAACGAAGCGATTGAAGGGGGAAATACATAGTAGCCGGACAGGAAAGAGCATGTTTGAACACAGTAGGAAGGCGGGCTGCAATATTTGATGTTGACATGAAAGCATCACCTGTCTGAATTCATGTTACTCTCTGAGGGCTCCTTTTACGTACAGTGGATTTCTGATGATTGTTTAGTTTAGTCTCTCACAGCTTCCTTTTAATCCTATCTCTTTACACTGTGTCCGTAATGTCTGTGGTCTGTAGCAGCTCTGCGGGTTGGTTATTGGATGAACTCCATCTTCTGGATAAGTGGTACCAACGTGGAGGAGGGCTATACACAACCACCACTTCTCCCTCCAATTATATGAGTGACCATGAGAGGACTGGGGTCACTTACAGATTCAGAGAGGACTTGTTCCTGATTCTTAAACCTCATATAAAACCATCAAAAACTCTCACATCTGATACCTTAAATGATCCAGTGAAGAATTCCCCCCTGACTGTCAATAGCACTACCAACAGGAAGGCTATCAGAAAGGTACCCATTCATTTAATTTTCCCACTGACTCCTTTGGTAGTAGAGATACATGGCTACTTGCCATTTTATATAGATGTTTTAGCATCACACAAATTATAAATATCATGTAGGTGACAAGTGCCAGTTTTTAACAGTTGTCTTGTAAACAAGTAACAGTGATTATATAACTGATATTATTTTGTTTTGTAGAAATGTCCCAGTCTAATTTATTTTTGTAGCTTATAATTTCATTTGAAATTTAACATGCTAAGATTATCAATGGCTCTGAACTATTTGCCTGAAACTGAAGTTGCCTGAAACTTCTGCTTAAAGGGACACCTGCATCGTAATGGACCTTTAATCCGGGATCTGACTCTGGACGTTCTCAAGCTCTGTATGAGGGCATCCAGCTTCAGATTTTCCCCATAGAAAAGCATTGAATCGTTGAATGCTTTCCTGTGGGGGAAAACACACGCATTGCATGTGAGTTAGGCGTGTGGCAGTGCATGAAGGATGTGTGAGACGCTGTTGTGGTGTGCTGGTGTACTGCCCCCACCCTTCCCCCTCTTATTTGGGCAGGGGTCCTATGCACCTCCAACTGCATATAAAGCAATGTACTTTATATGTAAGGTATTTATATGGGCAAGTTTGAACATGCATGTTAAAGGATTACTCCAAGCACTTACATAGAAACTACACTCTGTTCCAAATTATTATGCAAATTCTATTTGTGTCACAAAGATTAAATATTTTGTTTTTCAGTTTAACTCATGGATGGCATTGTGTCTCAGGGCTCTTTTGATCACTGAAAACAATCTCGGACACCTGTGATAATTAGATTGCCAGGTGAGCCCAATTTAAAGAAAAATTACTAAAGGAGGGTGTTCCACATTATTAAGCAGTGCACCATTATCATGCAATATGGGGAAGAAAAAGGATCTCTTCTGCCGAAAAGAGTGAAATAGTTCAATGCCTTTGGACGAGGTATGAAAACTTTAGATATTTCACGAAAACTTAAGCGTGATCATCGCACTATTAAGAGATTTGTGGCTGATTCAGAGCACAGATGGGTTCGTGCAGATAAAGGCACATCGAGGAAGATTTCTGCCAGATCCATGCATCGGATCAAGAGAGCAGTTACTAAAATACCATTACATAACAGCAAACAGATATTTGAAGCTGCTGGTGCCTCTGGAATCCCACGGACATCAAGATGTAGAGTCCTCCAGAGTCTTGCAACTGTGCATAAACCTTCTATTCGGCCACCACTAACCAATGCTCACAAGCAGAAACTGCTGCATTGGGCAGAAAAATACATGAAGACTAATTTTCAAACAGTCCTGTTCACTGGTGAGTGCCGTGCAACCCTGGATGGTCCAGATGGATGGAGTAGTGGATGGTTGGTGGACGGCCACCCTGTTCCAACAAGGCTGCAACGTCAGCAAGGCGGTGGTGGAGTCATGTTTTGGGCCGGAATCATGGGAAGAGAGCTGGTTGGCCCCGTTAGGGTCCCCGAAGGTGTAAAGATGACCTCTGCAAAGTATGTGGAGTTTCTGACTGACCACTTTCTTACAGAAGCAAGAACTATGCTTTCCATAATAAAATCATCTTAATGCATGACAATGCACCATCTCATGCTGCAAATAATACCTCTGCATCAATGGCTGCTATGGGGATAAAAGGAGAGAAAATAATGGTGTGGCCTCCATCCTCCCCTGACTTCAATCCTATTGAGAACCTTTGTAGCATCCTCAAGCAAAAGATCTATGAGGGTGGGAGGCAGTTTACATCCAAACAGCAGCTATGGGAGGCTATTCTGACCAAAATTCAAGCAGAAACTGTCCAAAAACTCACAAGTTCAATGGATGCAAGACTTGGGAAGCTGCTATCAAATAAGGGGTCCTATGTTAAAATGTAACGTGACCTGTTAAAATGTTTAAAAAGTTAAAATGTTGTTATAAGTTTGATTGAAATAGCATTTAATTTCAGTAAATATGCTGCAAACACAACAAATAACAATTTTCAGTTCTTTACAACCTATAAAGTGTTTTGAAACTTACTGTGTGTAATAATTTGGAACAGTGCATTGTAAGTTTGTATTTAAAAAAAATACTGTTATCATTAGGAGGTTTGTTCAATAAAATTTGAATTGTACTCTTAATAGTTGATAACATGAGAATTATGCTGACTGTTATTTACATCAGTTATTCAGGTAAATGAGAAAAATATAATTTGCATAATAATTTGGAACCGGGTGTAGTAATGTGACAGCCTATCTAGTCTGCCCAATTTTCTAAATACTTTCATTAGTCCCTTGCCTTATCTTATAGCTAGGATTGCCTTATCCATATCCCATGCATGCTTAAAGTCCTTCACTGTGTTCCACTTCAGCTGGTAGGGTATTTCATGCATCCACTACCCATAGAAACAGACAACCACTAAAGTGTGCTGTAGCGGTTATGGCATATTTGCCAACTGTCCTGATTTCGCCAGGGTAGTCCCATGCTTTGGGCTCTTGTCC